CTTCGTGAAATTGATTCTAGATTATGTATTGCAGTATCTATACGGTTTGTTTTCTCTTGCTGTCATCGCCGGAAGAGACTGTTGGATACAGTTATGTATTGCTTTTTATATATTTGGTATTAATTGTTCAATATCATGCAGCTTTTTATGCCTAACTTTCGCATACCTCTTGTTGTCAAGCACCCAGCTCCGTGTTGTTTTTTAATTGCTTTAAGATCAATGGATTGTTAATGGTTGCTGGTAATTTATGTACTCTCGAGTGATATATAACCATATCCATAAAATATGGTAAGTGACTTAAGACCACTATCTCATGAACCGATTGCTTTCCTCTTGTTGCAATGCTAAATTCACCGCACCACACGTCCTGCTGTACTCATATTTAACATATTTGTCATATTTAACATCATTGTTAACAGCGGACGACATTTGGTCAGGAGCATATCTTGACGCATGTTATTTGGTATCACTCCTAATTATTCCATATGAGCTGGCTTCATGTGATTTCACCAATCTGTTGCACTTCTGCTATACTGCCACTTGCTTTAGGCTCAAATTTTGTTGCGCCAGTTGACCGAAGCCTTCATAAAACACCCAACGGTAGGATGCAACTTTCTAGAAACTTCCTTGTGGGGACGGGAGACGGGACGCGTACGTAATCTTAGATAAGTTATTTATAGCGTACGATGCCCGCGTCTCACGTTCAAATTTAAAAAAAAGAAAATTAGCGTCTTGAGGCGCGTTGACGGAGCGCCGAACGCACCCGTCAGCCGCCACCTCAGACCTTTTTTGTTGCCTCAACCCAACAGTGCGCTTCACATTGGCATCATTTTCCGAAAATGCTTGACGAGCTTCAACACTGGCCCCAAAAGCTTCAGATGACTTCATTCGGTACATTTCCTTCGGCTAGCGCACACATTTGACGCAATTTGTAGCATTGACTCGCAGTATCCCACATATCGAGCCGGGAGTCCCGCCCAGGGTGCCGATTTATGTTGCATTGTATGGGCCCTGTTCCCCCCCCCTCAACACTTCTAATAGTTTTTTTTGTATGTTAAAAAAGTGGAAGAGGTCGAATTTCGCTTATGACATACATTTATTATTAGTTGCCGGCCATGACCACTAAGATGCTAAAGTTAAGGACTTTTTGATTAATGATACAAAATGCCGTCGTTTAGGGAGGCTGGGCCGCCTGACTTTCGGCACGCTCTCCCAATGATTTAAAATTTGACGTCTCTGCTCCTGCCTCACCTGCCAGCCCGTTCCCTAGCAGCCTCCAGCCGTCCCTCCCCCCCCCCCCCACCCCCTCTCGCCGGCCCCGCTCTGGCGTCTCGGCGCGAGCGCCGGCCGCCGCGGCGCCGCCGGCCGGCAGAGGGGGCCGTCAGCAGGCGGCGGGCTGCAGCAGCGCGCCGCTGACGCCTCGGCCCGCCCTGGGCGGCCACACGGCATCACTGACGGCATTACTCGCCGGGTGACTTCACTACGCCGCTCTGTTTGTGCAATGTTTATGGCGCGTACTGGGGATGCAACAGGCTGGAAACCTTGTATATGTTTATTGCGCCGGCTGTCAGTTTAGTACGGGTTATGGGCGTGGTTTATGGGGCATGGCTGGGTGGCGCCCGGAGCGTTGACGACCACTGTGCCGTGGTCGGGGGTCGCGCGGTCCGGCGGCGCCGCTTGCCGCTGTCAGGACGGCGCCGCTCGTCGCTACCGGCAAATGTCCGGCGCCGGGGAGATTTCGCGCTTCTGGCGACAACTGCGCACCGGGTGGAGTGGTGTCCAGTAGCGTAGGAACGTGGGAAGAAAGCGAGCAAATGTCCATTCCCGACCTGGGGAATGTCTAGGCACTCGCTGTGCGGCGTTGTATAGTACAAGATGAATGGAAGGCGGCTCCTGGTCGTCTTTAGCGATATGCGGCGGACGTGCCTGTCGGTGTCTGACGGGAATCGTAATGGCCAGGTTGTATTGGCTACTCTGCTCCTGCCTTGTGCTGCTCCCAGCCCGGACTGGTCCGCTGCCGTGATGCGTCTGAGTTAGTCTCCCACGCTGGCGCAGGCGGCAGAGCGACCCCCCCCCCCCCCCGACACACACTTTATCGTGCCGTCATGAGTGTGCGAGGATGAAGCACCCAGCGGGACCGACAATTTGCACCGCGACGTATCTTCTGGCTGAGGGAGAGTCGCACAACAATGTGCAAGACCGGCTTGCAGGGGCAGCTTGCGGGGTCATCTTGACAGCTATTGCAATCCAAGTGTGACCTCCGTTGTTATGCGCGTCAGTGGATGCTCACGTTGCCTCCTCCCTTCCATTCGCCTCGTGTTTCGACTCTCGACCCGAGCACATTCAGATCCCATCTGTACGTGGATGTGCTCTAAACGCATGCTTGTGATTACGTTTTGTGCCGTGTTGTGGATCAGACTGGACCATACTGAGCCATACTGAGCCAGACTGATCATGTATTGCTTCAGGTCTGGCCTGGACTCCTCCGCTGTTGTGTTTGTCTGTGTTGGCTGCTGCTGCGTTGCAACGGCGTAACTTCGCAACATTTATTGGGGCTGAACAGGTCAAAATACAGAAACCTCCCCCAAAATGTCCGCCCCTCAAATAGGTCACTCCGGAAATTGGCCCACATTATTCTCGAATTGAATGTGTGTGTGGGTAGGTGGGGTGAGGGCTGGACCCCCCCCCCCCGAATTGAACAGTGAACCACACCCCCTGCTGTGTTGCAATTCCTTGGACTGGTTTATGTATGGTGTTGGCCCCGATGTGTTTTATCGTGTTATGCTTGGGTGTATGCTAAGTTGCATGCCAAAGGTGCGTTGCACTTCCCGGACGCAGTCAGACGTTGTCGTTGAGCATTGCGCAGTAGCTTCGCCCATCCTTGGAAAGTAAGCGTGCTTTAGCTGAGTTCAAAATCTTTTCCCAATTAAGATGCGACATGATTTTTCAGACAGAACGCATGGGACGAATTCTCCACCCGTCTCCATCCCACTCTACGCCTGTAACCACACGCCCTCGCGCTCTCTCACAGACCACGTCACCTCAACTCACCGACCGCACGCCCTCTGCACGCCCTCGCGCTCTCGCACAGACCGCCTCACCGCACCTCACCGACCGCATGCTCTCTGCACACCCTCGTTCTCGCACAGACCACCCCATTTCACCTGACCGACCGCTCGCCCTCTGCGTGCCAGCTGTCGACACGAGGTCCGGATCTGCGTCGGCGTCGACATGTCGCATTGCGAGGCCGAGTGTGTGCGACATGCGATCCGGACGAGATTTGGGGCACCGTGTCAGTGGTGAAGGCTGCGGATCGCGTTTCAGTCGGTATTTGGTTGCGGTGCGCGTCCGTGCACGACGACCAGGGTGACGAGGCGGGCCCGGACTGCGGTGCCGTCCCACCTGAGCCGTCTTCCCAGCCAGGAACACAGCCGCACAGTTTATTGGGAGCCTAAGACGAGATTACGGCAAAATTCTGATGATTTTTTTACTTTGGTGTCGGTGAAATTTTGGTGATTTTAGATACTGAAAAGACCAAACACTGGGGGATCCGAGGTTACGTGAAGGGATAGAAGGAAGCTTCCCTCCCCCTCCCCATGACCTAGGCTGTGCCCCCAGCCGTTGTTTCAGCCGTGTTCTAATCCGCGCTCCCAATTACGCTCCCGGCCGTCCCTCCAGTCGTCCCCCTAGTCTTGCCCCCAGTCACGTTCTCAGCTGTCCCTCCAGCCGTCCCTCCAGATGTCCCTCCAGATGTCCCTCCAGCCATGCCCCAAGTCACGCTCCCGGCCGTCTCTCCAGCTGTCCCTCCAGCCGCCTCCCGTCCGTGCCGCCAGCCGCAGCGGTGTTCCCAGCGGGCCACGCTCCGCCGAAGCCGCACGGTCTCGCCGCCGTGCCGGTGTGGCTGTCGGCCGCTGACGTGCCGCCAGATTAGCGCTGTTCGATGCCGCCCGAGGCGGCGCACCGAAGCCGAACAGCGGCGTGACGCTCGCGGCAGAGCGCTTGGCGGATGTGGCCAGGGTAGCGAAGGACTTTTTCCCGTGTTCCTGAAGGCGGCACGAGCATTGTTTTAGGCGGTTTGCTTTGGTCATAGCCCTTTTGTCCTTCACTGTTTTGTGGCGACTGGGTGAAGTCAAGGGGTGTCTATTTTTGGCAATGGTGGGATGAAGGGGTTGGGTGAGCCAAAGGCTCGACAACCTGAAGTTTCCCACATGTCTTTCTCTTAACAGATCTGACCCACTTTACTTTGACGAACGGTAGCGTTGAAATGTGATATCATTCATGAATCATGCAAGTTTCGAATTTCATTTATCATTTATGAATGATCATGTACGAACTAGTCCTTTATTGAGCAACGTAGTCATTTTCAGCAAGTAATTAATGCCCGAAGAAGAGGGGCTTGGTGTTAGGTTCAGCCTTTCGATTTTCAATATTTATTTTTTAAAAATGAGATAATGACAAACCGGCTTAGAGGGGAGTACGGAAGGGGAAGTCAACATCGAGAAAATACGGACACGCAAATAATGCAGCCTGAATGCAAAGAATACCAACTCGGGATGCAGTCATGACATGCGCATCATCCGTGGGCAAGGGGCGTGCTACCTGGTTATGCATGCGTTCACTACCCAGCCACACTTCCAGAGCCTAATGTCTCGCCATCGGCATCTCCAGTTATCAACATGCGTCAGCAGCCTCCCTGTGGCGTAACTACGATTATCGCAAGGGCGCGTGGTCGTCGACGTGGTGTTTCGATCCCCAATCACCATCACCGTGCCGGTCATCATCACACCTGCTCCATACGGGATCACACACCGCTGTCAGAGCACGACCGTGTCGGTGCTTAAGCCTCAGCGCTTTAGCGGAGCAAACCACGGAGCGACCGTGTCTGACAATAAAAGTGGCCTTGCCTCGCACTCGTCCGTGTGCATGCACTCGTGCGCCCTGCTGTAACGTGCGCCGCCAGCGACCTTGACCCGCGCTGACCCCGCGTGCTCGGCTTTCAGGCGGGAGCCATGGCGACCGGCGTGGTCCGGGCGCTGCTGGTGGCCGTGCTGGCCCAGCTGGTCCGCTGCTCGGAGGACCTGCTGCTCTTGCCAGGTACGGGCTGCGCGATGACGAGGCAGGAAGGCACGAAACTCGCTGATCGGGAGGAGATCAGTGAGGAAGGGCACCACCTTCTGCACCAACTTACCGACCAATGCACCCCCTCCAAACACTTTCGAGCTGTTCAATGGCAATAGCTATTCAACTGTCGCCGAACACTTTCTCTTGTATTGAAGTGGAGAGTTGGCTCCGTTCGCCTCGTGGCCGTCAAGTGGAACGGAGACACCAAACGAGTCAGAAACGGATCTGGGTACCAATTAATCCTGAGAACGCCGTGTTTGATCCCGTGTTAGTTTGCTGATCAGTGGCCCTCTGAACTATATCGAGTTGTTTGCCTTGAAGAGGATAGTTGCCTTCCAGCGTATTGCCTCAGCCAGAGACCGTGCATGATGTTGAAAACACGGTGCAACACAAAGCAGTAGCCTAGCGGACCAAATAAACATATTACATCACCAACCACTTAAAGGCCGAGCGAAAGTCATCGCTTCGTCGCGGCCGGCGGCGGCCTCTGGGCGCAGGTGACCTGCCAGGGCCGGACTGTGACCAGGTGGGCCGGCGGCGGCCTCTGGGCGCAGGTGACCTGCCAGGGCCGGACTGTGGCCAGGTGGGCCGGCGGCGGCCGGCGGGGCTCGTGGGCCGGCGCGCCGCTGGCTCGACGGGCCTCCCTGCACGACGGCTGCTCGTTTCCGATTTTATTGCGTTCCGCACCGCTATTCATCACGGAGCGCTGGCTGGCCTAGCCGTGTTCAGAGCGGCGCGGCCTGCGCGGGCCGCTGAGATATGGCCCAGCCGGCGGTGCCGCCCGCCGCCCCCGCGTGGCGACGCAGAGCGGCCGCCGCCCGCCGCACAGTCGGGCAGGAGCGACAGGTGCAACACGCGTGCCGGGGTCCCTGCACAGCGGCACAGAGCAGCAGACGAGCCTGACGGTGTACAACCGCTGGGCGACCCATGGGGTAGATGCTGTACAATTACTAATTGGTGCCTTACTGGTGAAAGTGCAACGCATCTACAATGTAGCTTGAAAAAGAAACAATGCTCCATATAGGGTTCATATGCCGCGAGCGCGTCGCGCGCAAATTAGGCCCCTCACCCTGTTCATCGTTCGCACGCGACGCGCGCACGCGCAACGCTGACCGCTCCGCTCAATTGGTGTCTCGTTTACGAGGTCGCCCCGTCACGGATATCGCAAATTGCTGTACCGTTACACTCTCTAACATTGCAGTATGACCATTCCGTTTATAAGCTGGTGTTTAAGGTCATAAAGGATATCTCCATCTGTGGCTTGACATGCTACCCTGTGGAACGGAAGCAGTCTTGGGGACTAGGTAAACGGGAGTACGTGGCAACAAGTAAATGAGAGAGAAGCCCCGCAACCGTGTCCTGAGCATTCCAGCTGTAGCGAAGTAGAGCATAAGGAACTTGTGGCAATAACGACGCCATTCACCACACGCCCATGGGGTGGCCATGTTGTGTCTGCGCTTGTTGCGGCTGCTCCCGACCGTGCGCGCTGTGCACGGGTACGTCAGTGCAAACGTACATGTGACGCCGTTTTGCAACCTTCACCATTTGCGCGTATCGCGCAGCAGTACATGGAAAGGACATGGAATTAGGTATTATGACGTCCGACGCACACAAACTTCAGATGAGAGATGCGATCATTTTGTGAGTGGAGCAGCGTTCAACGCATTTTTGTAGACCTTCATCAGGACGTCGATTAGTATTATATATGACAATGCAAAGTACGATATTGCGGCGGTGGGTTGACAGTTGGCCGGAGTTGTTGACAGTTGACCCCCCTCCCCCCCCTCTCCCGGAGGAATAACACGCCAGCTCACACTCAGTCGTCAGTCCTGTCTAGTCGTCAGTCCTGTCTATGAATTAACATTCAGCGGTCCCTAGTCGCCCCTCAGCACTGGCGCCTTCAGCTAAACAGAATGCGGCGTCCTTCGCATGTGAATGATGCGACACTCCGTGATGAATGGCTATGCCAGGGTGACGCTGGCGCCGCCGCATCACCACCGACCCCCAGCATGTATTGGGTAAGCACACGTCCCGTTGGGGAGCTGGGGGCGTACCAACCTGCTTGGGCTCGGGCTGCTCGGGCCATTGGCTCCCGTCCTCTCCACCCCGCCACCTCCGGCCCGCCCGCAGACAAAAGTGAGGGCGATCGCTATCCACCGCGCCGCCGCCGCCGGTGGACGGTCGGCGAGAAATGCGCCTGTCCGCTGCGGCGACGGCTGCCGGAGAGGCTGCCGCGGATGGCTCCGAGGACCGGGGCGTATCGCGAGGCATGATCGCCGCCCGATCCTCGGCCGCGGCTCTCGGGAGCGCCGCTGTGCGTGTGAGGGCGTGGGAAGCGCGCCTGGAATGAGCCGGGAGGAGGGCGGCCGCGCGCCGTCTCGCGTAATGGTGTCGCTCGTTCCGGTGGGGTTTTCCGACCATCGCCCGCTCCAGGAGACGTTGGCCAGAGAGGGACGGAGACGGAGACGGAGACGGAGACGGAGACGGAGACGGAGACGGAGACGGAGACGGAGACAGAGGCAGAGACAGAGACAGAGACAGAGACGGGGACGGGGACATAGACAGAGACACAGAGACAGAGAGGCATGGCGGAGGCTAGGACAGAAACAGAGACAGACACAGACACAGACACAGGCACAGACACAGACACAGACACAGACACAGACACAGACAGACACAGAGACATAGACAGAGACAGAGAGACATGACGGAGGCTGGGACAGAGACAGAGACAGAGGCAGAGACACAGAGACAGAGAGGCATGACAGAGACAGAGACAGAAACAGAGACAGAGACAGAGACACAGAGGCGGAGAGGCATGACGGAGGCTGGGACAGAGACAGAGACAGAGGCAGAGACACAGGGACAGAGAGGCATGACAGAGACAGAGACAGAAACAGAGACAGAGACACAGAGGCGGAGAGGCATGACGGAGGCTAGGACAGGGACAGAGACAGACACAGACACAGAGACATAGCCAGAGACAGAGAGACATGACGCAGGGTCGGCCAGCCAGTCCCGCCGCCCTGTGGTGGCCGCCATGACGTCTCTGTTCCTCAGCCGCCTTTTTGCGCCGCTCAGCAATAACCGGAAGCGGAGAGTCGGCGCTCGCGCTGTCCATAAATTCACGTCACGTGCGAGCGCGAATGTTTGGAGAAATGATTACGCACCATGCGACGCCGTTGTGGGGAAATGGTGGCGCCGACAGGCTCTGAACAAACAGGGCCCGGGTTTCGTTGAAAAACGCGCCGCCGCGCGCGTGCTGCCGTACGTCCATGTCATGTCGACTGGAGGTCGGTCGTCTTCGGAAGCGGCAGGCTGCGTACCGACTGGGTCCCAGTACCGGCTCCGCCATCCGGGCATGCAGTGGTAATGCGTACGTATGCTTTCTTGGGCAACCTTGCGACTTACCGTGGTCTGTTTGACAACTGGCGGGGTGTTAAACGCTTAGCATGTATGCTTGAGTTGTGCTGCGGGTTTGTTGCCTTTTATGTTCCCGAAGTCTTCGGCACATATCATTGCTGCGTGCTGATTGATTCAGGCCATTTCAAAACAGCGCAGCGCAAAAAGAATCTTGTGAAAATGCGTGCCGCGATTCGATTGTCGTTGCATTGTTGTTTTGTATATACCGCAAAGTACTAGTGAAAAAGCTCCTGTTTGAACCTGCTAAACCTGTTTTAGCTACCACATTACCGAAATATGTGTCGTGTGTACACTAGTTTTGTTTCGAGATGCCGCAGATAATTCAAGGTATTGTTTTGATACAAGATAGGCATGCTTTGTGAGGTTTCTTTCTGGCCTTCTTGCAAGCAGTAGTTTGGAGTGTGACTAATTACATACAAAAGTGTGGTGAAAAATGTTTTTGAAGTATTTCCTATGCAGTCGGGCGAGGGGATGCGTGGATTACGTACAGAACATCAGGTTGTCGATATACTTGGCCAACGCTCATATTCTCTGAGCGATTAAACTCTCAATTCCGGTGAAGCTGAGGCCTTTGAAAGTTTTTCGAACGGAGAATCGAACGTGGCACCCTCGGTTCAGGAACGACCCTCGAATCTCTCGTTCCGTCGCTCTTCGCGGCCCGCTGTGCGTCGGCCCGCGGGCCGTCACGCCGCTGCTGCATCGAAGCGCCGCCCGGCACGTTTCCTCGTAGCCATCGAAAGCCGCCGTGGTGCGCCGTAACAGGCCTCAAATCGGTGCTGAACGGCGGCGCCGCCGCGAACAAAGCACGCCGACAGCTCCATGTCGCTCATCGATCACCGCGCCGTGGCATGGCGTTGGAGCCGTCGGCGGCGCGTCGGCCGACGGCGAGCCTCGCGCGACCGTCAGCCGTCGGCGGCGACGGCCCCGTCACGGCGCACTTACCTGGCGCCGTTCGGGACACTTAGGAGGGCCCTGAGCGGGTCCGGACCGGTGCCGGCGGCCGTTTCGGCGCCGACGTCCGGCCGCGCTCGGCGCCGGCCCCTGTGACTGACGGCGGCTGGCCGTGACTGAGGCTGGGGTGGGCACGACCGGCTGTCTATCGCACGCGTGGCCCGGACGCTGCTCCCGACGGCCGGAGCGTCTGGTTTGAGGGTGGGTGCGGGTCTGCTGACCTCACGCGCCGACACAGCCATGCTGCACCCTCGAGTGGGCGTTCTTGGTCAGTGTTTTCCTACTTTTTTAAGATTTATCCCCTAAGGATGGAATGAATGGTGATTTCACTCGAACCGAACAACCAAATTCAATTAACCGGGCATGTGTGTGTGTGCTCACTCTTGTTGTAAACAATAACAGGCAGGCGGTTGGTAGGTCCAGAAAAATGTTCTGCACAGGGAATGTATTTGGCCACGCGAATCAGCCACACAATTCAACATTCGGTATCTTTCTCGTGCCTGAACACTCCATGTGAGCGAACGAAATGAATTATGCAAATTCAACGTTTGTTGTGGAATCACTGTTTTTGGCTACCACAGGAGACATTTTCGACTCTG